CCGGACTCCGAAGTGGGAGGTAGTGTCCACGACTTCTTCCTTATTATTGTAGGCTACACTCCGCTTGCGCTGCTTGCTATATTTATAATAATTATGATTAGAATTCACGTTCGATGTGTGAAATTTCTCTCTGAATTATAGTATTGTTATTGTTCCTATTGTTGTTGGTGGTGGTGGTGGTGGTTGTGATGGTGTTGTTGTTGCTGGTGGTTTTCCTGTTGTATGTTTGTAACAGTTTTTTGGGTTTTGTTTTTGTTTTTTGTTTTGTTTGTTCGTGGGCTTTTTTATGTCGGTTTAACAGTTTAACGACGGTTTAACAGTTTAACGACGGTTTAACAGTTTAACGACGGTTTAACAGTTTAACAAAACAGTTTAACGACGGTTTAACAGTTTAACGACCGTGCCTACTGTAAAGCTTGCCTTATTTATGTCGTATTGTGGACTCGGGTTTGATGTGACTACCACCCTCTGTGCCTACATCTGATTACTACCATCAGGCGCATTAATTATCAATAATTATGTTTGTGTGCCTTTCATGTACAAAGGGAACAATCATGTAGGCTATTTTGTGCCGTTGTCCTGCTTGTTTGGAACGCCTTTTCATAGTAAAAAAAAACAAGTTCATTAAAAATATAAAACCTGATTCATGACGGGTTTTACTTTTACACACGATGTGAGCTACTGGTTCTCTGCAAGCTTTCATTAGGCATCATCATCATCATCATCATCATCATCATCCGGTGCCTTGCCGACTGGTGTGGGCGATCATGGACCCCCATTTCACTCTGTCTTGCGTTGCAGCGATGGTCTGTCGTTCTTGCTGTTCCCAGCCATGTTGTCAACTTGTCCAGTATCTTTTCCTTCTGTCTGCCTCTACTTCTCTTTCCATCAAACTTGCTTGTTGTTACAATATTCTCCAATCATTAGGCCTATGTAGGCACAATTGTTTCAATAACTGGAGTGCAATTGGTAGGCCTACTGCGCAGAAGTTACACTTTCGAATATAACAAATACAGCTCTAATTTTGTCTTCACTCTGAGTGGCGTATTGTCTATTCTGTGTCTAGTAGACGAGGGGCAATGTGTTCCACCTTCAAAATGACCCGTTGTTTGTCTTAGGGCAATAGGCGGAGACGCCGACAATTGGCTTTGAACAGCACACAGTTTGTTCGCGTTCTGGTAGACTATTTCTGGAAGAACTGCTTCAGAAAGCTTTGTACTTTTTGGCAAGCACCTCCGCTGTGTTGCTATATATCTATGTCAATAGATCATTACTTAATGACGTATATATATTCGATCTGTTTCTAGAAAGTCTTGGCTGATTCTTGTGCAGTGCACATAAAAATATGATGACGATTGCTTACGAAAAGGCCAGAACAAAGGAGCAAGCACACACACACACACACACACACACACACACACACTCTCTCTCTCTCTCTCTCTCTCTCTCTCTCTCTCTCTCTCTCTCTCTCACACACACACACACACACACACACATAATTACACACGCACACACACACACAATTACACACACACA